CCCCACCCCCAGCCAAGTCATACTGTTTTCACCATCCACCGTACCCCCGCTTCCAATTAACTAACATGAGCGGCTATGGCTCATACCAGCCGCCGGGTGGCGGTGGTCCGGGCTCTGGTCGCTACTCTTCCGATCGCCCCGACCCGCGTTCCGGCCAGGCTGCGCCGCCGCCGCAGCCGCGCCCGACCATTGCTGAAGTCGCGCGTGAGCTCGAGCGCGTCGGAGCCGCCGCGCGCAATGGCCGCTACGGAAAGGAGGGCAGGCAGGTGCAATTGAATGTCAATTGCTACCCGACCGATCTTTCCGACTTGCCCGATCTCGTCCGCCACTACGACATCGTCTTCGAGGCCATCGAGGAAGACCGTGGCTTCGGAGGCAGGGGCGGCAGGGGGAGGGGCAGGGGGGGTAGAGGCGGTAGAGGAAGGGGTAGGGGTGGTAGAGGCGGCGGGGCCGGTAGAGGCGCCCCGGGGCAGGAAGAGAAACCCCTCCCCGTCGGCATCGCCACCAAGCTCATTCGAGATATTGAGGCCAACTATGCACACGATTTTAGAAACTCGAAGATCGCTCATGACGGCCGCAAGAATGCCTACTTGAATGTCGATCCGGGCTGGTCCACCAAGACCTTCCAGGCCGAGCGCGAGGGCACCAAGTACAATGTCAAGTTCAATATGGCCAACATGGTCCCGACCAAGGATCTCGTCAAATACATTAACAAGGAAGACCCCAAGTGCCCACATGAGGCCGTCGCCTTGCTTGATACCGTCTTGAGGACGAGCCCATTGCGCAACTTTGTGTACACGGGAAAGGCCTTCGGAATCCCGCCGGATCTCGACACGGTCTCCAGTATGAGGTTGGGCGATGGATGTGAGGCTTGGGTGTGTTACTACCAGGCATTCCGTCCGCATGACACAGGTATGTTCCTTGCCTTTGATGTCACCTACAGTGCCTTTTACATCTCCCAGACCGTCTACGATTTCGCCGCTGAGATTCTTGGAACCCCGACCGATCGCGGCGATACCGACGCCATGCAGCCCGCGTTTACCACCAAGTTGACCACAGATCAGACGAGGAGGCTGGAGAATGCCATTCGCGGCCTCAAGATCATCCAAAACTACCAGCCTGTGCAGGAGCAAAAGCCGCTCACCGTCAAAAGGATCACTCCAGAGGCTGCAAGTGAGCTAGCGTTCGAAGACCCCAACTCGTCTCGCAGGGTCAGTATCGCCGACCATTTCGCCGACATGGGCCAGGCACTCAACTATCCCTATCTACCCTGTCTAGATATTCAGAGTGGCAAGACCGGACACACTTACATCCCGCTCGAGAAGGCCACATTCATGACTGGGCAGAGGCGTCAGAAGCAGATGAACCAAGAAATGAAGGAGCGCATGGCCAACATCGGTGCGAGGAGCCCCTCGGCTCGTCTGGCGCAGATCGCTAGTGTGCTCGATGATGTGAACAAGCAGACCCAGGAGTACCTCCAGGCCTTCGGTGTCAAAGTGAATATTGACAGGCTTGCTGTCCCGGCGAGAATCATGGACCCCCCGCTCGTTCAGCTTGGAAAGAATGTCACCATTGACGTCCGTCAGAACCCCAATAATGAATTCCACTGGACCATGAAGAACAACACTTTCTATCAGACGGGCGAGCCGCTTGTATCATGGGGCGTCCTTGTCATCGCGAATGACATTGTCAAGTATGAAGTGCAGCGTTTCATCGCATCTGTTCGTCATGTCTGCGAGCAAGTCGGCATGAAGACGGAGGCGCCAGAGATCGGATGGAGCCACACCCCAATTCTGCAGAAGGGAATGATGGAGCTTCACGGCCGCATCAATAGCAATCCCAAGTACGGTGGCAAGAAGTGTCAGATCATCATGGTCATCAAGAATGACACCGCCACGAGGGACTACAACCAGATCAAGAACGTGGGCGATACCTACCTTGGTATTCCCACGCAGTGCGTGGTCATGGCCAATGCCAAGAGCCCCAAGGAGCTCTATTGTCTCAATCTCGTTCTCAAGATCAACGCCAAACTGAATGGAGTCAACCATCGTATCCCTGGTGACAACTTCTCGGCCCTCGGAAAGAGTTTCATGGTAATTGGAGCCTCCGTGTCGCATGCCTCTGGGCTTGAAAGCAAGGGTGATTCTCCTTCTGTCAGTGCCGTTGTCGGTAGTTTGGACAAGCGTTGTGGTAGACAGGTTGGTACTTTCCGTGTGCAAGATGCCAAGGCCGAAGGTATTCAGGACTTTGGCGCAATGGTCCGTGAAGTAGTTCACAACTTCGCTAGTCGTGAAGAATTCCTTCCGGACAATATTCTTATCTATCGCAATGGTGTTGCCGATGGTCAATTTGCAAAGGTTCTCAGTGACGAGCTTGGACCTATCAGAGATGAGCTCAACAAGCTCGGGCCGACTCTCAAGATGGGTCCCTACAACCCGAAAATCAGTTTCATCGTTATGCAGCGTGGTCATCATGTACGCTTCGAGCCCATCGATGATTCGCTTCGTGATCTGTCTGGCAATTGCCTCCCTGGAACCGTTGTGGACTCCCAGGTGGCGCATCCCACAAACTTTGATTTCTACCTCTTCAGCCACAACGGTATTAAGGGTACCTCTCGCCCGATGCGTTATACAGTGCTGATGGATGACATCAACTTCACTCCTGATGAGATTCAAGGTCTGACCTATCGTCTTTGCTACCTCTTCGCCAGGAGCACGAGAAGTGTCTCCATCGTTCCACCAGTTTACTACGCGGATCTTCTTGCCGTGCGTGGGCGTGCGTACCTATCTGCGAGGAATCCCTCTCGTTTTGAAGTGCGCCCGGACCAGCCACAGATGCCACTTGCGCAAGATTCTCCTCTTCCGACGGAGTATGCAACGGGCATTCCCAAATTGCACGAAAACTTGGCTGGCACCTTGTACTATGTGTAGCTTCTAGCAGCTACAACTGCGCTCTAATACGTTCATAATCCTCTGATCCCGGTAGATGAATCTCTCATGGCGTCCTAATACTGTGGTAAAGAACACGTCATCGTGGAGATGCGCCACGTGCAACCTGAAGCATCTCAGAAATGGACTCGATTTTTATTTTTGCAGTCGCCCGCCCTGCCAGCATACCACGGTGCCTTTCTTCCTCGTCAATACGCTGCCAACCCTCCCATGTGACTGCCTCCGCTGATGACGTTCTCAACCATTCGTGCAGCCCGGGTTTTGCGTTTGCCAACAAATCAGGTAGTTGAGAAACCACAGACTCTGCATCCCATTTGTTGTCCCCAATTATTCCTGTGGCTTTCCCATTCGCCCATCCCACGCGATACCCTGAGCCCTCATCCGGACAATACCCAAGGCTAAGAAATATGCAACTGTGTTCTTCTTTGATAAACGATTGGTCTCCTGGTTTCTCGTCTCGAGTTGTCAGTTCCATATCAATATTTCCATTGGGTAAAAGCTTGAAACTCTGAGGTGAAGACAAGAACTGTAAATGGAGCGTCTTGCTTTCTCCCACTCCCTTCTCACTCCCTGCGCTCCCCGCGCTCCCCGCATCCTCCGTTCGCTCAAACAGCAGTTTCAACGCCCGCTTTGACGTTCTCTGTAAATCCGGGGACTCTAAATCCCGCTGCAGAAGGCTGTGACTGCACTTCGTAATGATACCAGGTATTTTCGTGACAACCTCGCGAAGCGCGGCTGTTGTCCAGGCAGCGCGGGCCGGGTTTTTCCGTCCAACCACTGACACTGTTTGAATACGCGCCTTTTGAAGCACGTCAAGAGCGCGCGGAGACACATCCGTGTCTGCGAAATCCTCTGTTGAACGAAGCAGTGTACGCGCAACATCGATCGCCACGTTTCCTAGGCCAATGACCGCGATGTCGGTGCCGGATGAGATGCGCTTCTCAATATCTGCCCTTTTTCCTGTTTCGATCTCTGGGTGCCCATTGATCCATTTGACGAAGTCATGAGCGGAATGTACGCCCTGATAGGGAATCTCTACGTTAGGAAGACGACGAGGGGCTTTGGCGCCCGTTGCAAAGACAGTGAGGTTGTATAGTTGTGAAAGAGTATCTTGATCGAGGGGCGTTCCAGGCCCAGCGGATACGTTTCCGTAAAAGGAAATGTGATCACGATTCGACTCGATGAACGATGAGAATTGGGATATCGCATTTTTGGTCGAAGGATGGTCTGGCGATACTCCATAGCGAACAAGGCCGAACGGAACGGGTAAGCGTTCTAAAATGTCAACGTGCATGGTAGGATATCGTCGGAGAAGCGCTTGGGCCGCGTAGATTCCCGCCGGGCCAGAACCGATGACCGCGCAGCGCATGACGGGAGACTCGCTTCTTCTTCGGGAAGGAGAGCGGACGGGAAGATTGAAAGCGCTGTTACAACATGATCTTCACTGAGGTACGTTTCGATTTGAGTCAGAAGGGGCAAAGTTTGAGGGGATTATGCGTACAAGGCTCCGCAGTTGGTCATGAGCTTTGTGAATTCATTTTGAGCCTTAATTTTATCCTTCTCCTTGCTCTTTCACGCTTCACGCTGAGAGGTTTTGAACCGCAACCAATGACATCTGGCGCCACACACATTCTTTATTCGACCTTCGCGAAGCATTGGTTGGGCTGTGCCATCATGGGCATGTTTGCAATCGGTCTGCACCAGAAATCGCAGCATTGCGACTTTGCTAGAATCTTCATGGACGTGGCCTCACTTTGCCGCGTCTCAAACTCTCACAACCCTGTGTCCCGTTCACGATTCTGCAGTAACGCAAGAGCAGCGTCACACATTCCCGAAATATCGCGACTTATCTTTACTCTTCTAACACCCCTGCTCTGGGGTTTTTGAATTCTGTACAACCTCTGCAATAGCCTCTGCTACCTGCGCTACGTTATTCTCGTTGAGTCCAGCGATGTTGATCCTCGAGTTTCCCGTCAGGTAGATATGGTGAAGAACCCTCATTCTTTCAACTTGCGAATACGTCAGCCCCAACAGCACGAACATACCCTTCGTCTGTGTAATGTGCTTCCAATGCCCCGCTACTTTCCTTCGTTCAAGCTCATCCCTCAACCTTTCCCTCATCTTTCCAATCCGCCCTACCACCTCTTTGATTTCCAATAACCACTTTGCTCTCAAAGTATCATCTCCCATCACCTTGGCCGCGATAAGCGCCCCATGTGCCGGTGGGCTTGAGTACATGCCCCGCGCCAGCCAGCTCAGCTGACTCAAGAGATTAGTTGCCGTGTCTCGGCCCGGCACCTTATCTGCCACGCATACACTTACTGTGCCCACCCTTGAATTGTACAGCCCCAGGTTCTTGCTGAATGACTGCGCCACAATGACATTGATCCCTTTTCTAACGAACGTCCTCACAGCACATACATCCTCCTCCATGTCACCACTCGCCAGTCCCTGGTATGCCATATCAAACACCGGCACTAAACGCCTTTGTTGAACAACGTCAGCCACACGTCTCCATTCCCGCTCCTTGAGATCCGCGCCCGACGGGTTATGCGCACACGCCTGCAACAGCACAACATCTCCACGTTTCGCCTTCCCCAAATCGGCGAGCATTCCGTCGATATCCACGGCATGCCTGTCATAGTCATAGTACCTATACCTTGCCAACTTGAGTGCCTCCATGGGAACCATTTGGACATGATTAGGCCATGCCGGCAGAGACACATGGGCCTCCTCAGCGCCCAGCACGCGCGACGCCAAGGAGAGCGCGAGTCGGAGCGCGCACGAGCCGGATACTGTGTGCAAGCACGCGATACGGCCGCTCTCAAAGACGTCGTCGCCGTAGATCAGACGGGCGGATTGAGAAGCCAGGTGTTCGAGGCCCGAAATGGGGAGGTAGGCGTGGTCATAAGTTGACGAGGCTGCGATGGAGAGGCGGGCGTCGCGCACGGCACGGAACTCGTGGACGTTTCCGCCGGCGTCGCGGTAGGCGCCGACGGATACATTGACGGCCAACGGGGAGGGATCTTGCTGGTACGCTTGATGAATGGCCAGAATTGGATCTCGTGGGGCGGCAAGGACGTCCCACTTGGAACGCTCAGAAGTGGATGGGACTGGGTCGGGTACACGCATGGTGAATGGAAAAGTTTGGATGAGCAGAGCGAACAAGGCCGAATACCAGCGACACGGTTAGACGCAACTGGGCTTGGACAAATGGGCGAGATGTAATGAAATAGTAGCCGCACGCGAGGCGTGCAAGCATGAAGATTATTGCTCAGGTGGGTGCGATGTGTGGCCTTGAGCACGCACTACAAGCACATTGAAGGCGGCGAAGCGCGATAAGACACGGAAATGGCAGCATGATCTACTGCAGTTGCGGAGCGTGGAAGGATGCGGATGCGCTACGTCTGGATGAGGTCGTCAAAAGAAATGAGTCGTGGAGGACTAGACGCCACCTTGAGGATAGAGATAGACAGCGCAGGGAAATGTGGCCTGTGAGGAGGACGCGGAAGGCACATCCACACGACACAGGATTTGCGATAGTGATGCGGTACCCTGAAGGGTACAGTAGCGAGTATGTGGATGAAACAGGGCTGGAGCGAATCATTGGACGTCGGCGGCTGTGGAACGACTGCGGTCATGCTAGTGGACGGACGTGGAATCCTGTCATCTACGCGCCCTATCGCAGAGCACTGGCAACACGTGGAGATATAGCTCGGCAATACGCGCTGTTATTGCAAATGTTCCTTTCTCTTCTCCCTTCTCTTCCCTCTACCCTGTGGAAGCGCAGGTAGAAAGAAGGTTCCGAGCCGAACGATAACGCACTCCATTTCCCCATGCCCTCCGCTCCGAAGGTCCCGGGAGAGGAGTTCGAGGAGGTGGGGGAGGGGCTCTTAAATCAGCGACTGCGCCGCTACGTGTATTACGTGGCTAGGTGTCAGTGGAGGAGAGACTCTCACCCGACCTCAGACCTCAGCTGCAAATTTTGCAACCAGCCAATTACATACAGTACACAATAGTTTTAATGTACAATGCTGCGTGTAGATTCCACCCCTCAACCGTATTCGCGTGCTTTGCGCGCATCGCACGACATCGGGCCGTGTTGAAATGAAGACGCCCGTACAAGTGTGGGTCTGCCTTGTTACAGTAGTATTGTTGCTGCATATGTATGTATGCAGTAAGTGAGTGGCCATTTGGCCATTCACTTTTATATTTGAGCTTAATTTGTATACTTCTTTCTACGGACTTCATCGATCCCTTTTTAAGATACGATGAATTCGTCCTCACGAGGAGTATTTAGCACATCACCGGGTGTATTGGGGTAGTATAAAAGCAGCTCCCCACTTCCTAGTAGAGGAAAGAAGAGAGCAGCACACAGAGAAGAATCTCAGCCATCCTCGAGGTCAAAAGTTCCGTTCGTCGGAAGACAAGGGTGATTAAAGAGGTACCGTCCGTCGGTGCTTATTTCTCTGTTAATTTTTCCTCAGTATTTTCACATTCATGAATTACCGAATCACTGGGATTTCAAACGATATTTACTCGCTTAGCCAATAAGCGACAACATTGGAACAGCCAAAGTTACTGTACTTGTTTTACATTCATTTTTTTGCCCGATTGTGACACGAGATTATCAGGGTGCGGACTAGGTTTTTGTGATTAACCACGTCTCGACGACGGCGACGCCCAGCCCCAACGCTAGCGAAGCATCCACTAACACATTATCAGGCTGCTGACGGACATTGCGATTGCTCGTTGACGCGCTTTACTACCTGAAACGGTTGATCCGGCTTTCCGGGGACGCTAGGTTGGCGACTTGAACCAAGGCGAGCTCGTTGCTGGAGCCCCACCGGTCCTTCGGGGCGGATAACGGTGTTTGGTGTAAAAGCCTGGTGAATTCCGAACGGGTGAGCTGACGGGGTGTCGTGCCGTTGGTGTGGAGCACTGTCTTCGTGTTTTTCAAGATGTCAGGAGGCGATGCCGGACAATCAAGGGACGGTTTGGCTGATGCTCAAGAGCCGCCTTTCATGCAAGGGTTGACTGACACTGTTTTTCAAGGGCTGAATGATACACAGAAAGGCTTCATCACTTCTATTCGTCTGTTGCAAAGTTCTGAGGAGAGTGGCGATATTCTACTACGCTCAATTGCCGACATGTTTCCGCCGAGCCATTTATTCAGCAAGGAATTGCGAAGTTTGCCTTCCGTTTACTCCGAGCTCCGTAAGTTCCTAGACACTCGTGGTGCAGCAATGCTGCAGCATTCATCTCGGAGGATAATGATGACCCTGGCATCCAACATTTATGAGGAGCAGGAGGACAAACAAGCCGCTGTTGATATTGTTCAAGAAATCATTGCCGCGGGTCGTCGAAATCGTGAGCAAGCTCCCGGATCTCAAGTCGCAGCCTCCGGTGCTGTCTCTGTCGAGATGTCGCGCCATTCTGGCAGTTCTTCGATGGACAAAATTGCCCACAACGTGGCGATGAGTCTGAAGGAAAAAGAGAAGAAATTCAGCGGTGCAATCGGCGAATGTTGGATGGAATTCGTTGATGAGTTCAAACAACTTGCTCGTGACTATGGCCTTTCTATCACCCAAAAGTTGCAATATATGCACAACATGCTCCGGGGTGATGCCAAGCGATTCTACTTGGACAAGATTGATGGATATGCCACGTCCTTCAATCAAGCAGTTGATTTAATTGAGAAGGAATACAATTCTACCGTCCGCCAGACCAAAGTTAAGAATTATCTCAACACGCTAAGGATCTCGAAGTTTGTTGACGATGGAGCTGAGATTTCCGACGCTCTCGCAAAAGTCCACAACATCATCAACAAGCTCTCTCGCCAAGGACCGGCATCGCACCGTGGTGAAGCTCACAAGATCGAATTTCTTCATCAAGCAGTAGTGGGCTTCGACTGGTCCAAGGATCCTCTAACAAGGATTGCCACCAACAACTTGACATTCGAAGAACTGTATGGAGAGCTAGAAAATGCATTGCAGCTAGAAAAGGAAGCGGAAATCGCTAAGCTCCGCGATAATATTACGCTGCACCGAAACAAGACGGCATCTGAAAATGACGGGAGCGAAAGAATCTTCTACACTGGCCAAGGAAGATATGCCCGTTCTCCGTCCCTTGTTAACAGTCGAGGGAGTAAGGCCGTATCTTTCGGAAAGAGCTCGTACGTACCTAAGTCTTTCGATCCATTGTCAATTGCTGGATGTTTCAATTGCGATGATCGAAATCATACCCTCAGCAAATGCCCAATGCCCCTGAACATGAAGAAAGCCGCAGCCAACAAGCTCGAGTACTACGAAAAGAAGCGAGGCAAAGTTGGAGGTAACGTGCATCTTGTGCTTGCCGAAATTTGTTACCAGCTGGACATGTCTGTCAATGCGAGTGAAGCCGACTCCTTGGGCACTTCAGGACTTCTATCTGACAGGGAAATGTTTGACGAACTTCTCTCGCAGGCAGAAGTTAGTATCAATACTGTCGCCGTTGAAGAAAGACGCGACCAAGATCTGCCCAACGAGGACAAGGACCAGTTTTTCACAGTTTTCGAAGACGGCTCGTCCCCTCGGGACGTAATGGTCAACTTGACTCATGAAGACAAGGAGGCTTCACCTTTTCTCGGAGCCTGTATCGATACTGGTGCTCAAAGGTCCGTAATCGGAAGGAAGCAAGCCATGGCATACTGTGATTTCTCTGGAACAGCATTCCATGTCGATACGGCGAGCGTGCAAAGAGTTTACAAGTTCGGCGAGAAAAGGTATACGGGTTTGGGAACGCTCTTCATTCGCATACCGGCCGACGCAGATCATTTCATTGCTGCTGAAGTTGAGGTTGTGGATCTAGATGTCCCTTTCCTTATTGGACTAGATTTCCTCGTCCAGCATGGGATGATCATAGACACTGCGCACAATTTGCTAATTTCAGACTTGGGTGGATGGCAGGTAACTTTGATTTCGAAGCGCGGACATCTTTTCCTGGAGTGGACCGATGAGATGCTGTACACAACCGAGGAACTAAGAAAGATGCATCGTCATTTCTTTCATCCAAAAGCAGAGAGACTGTACGCAGTTATGCGACGGTCTGACCCGAACAGTTGTGCACCTGATGACCTCCGCGACCTTCAGGAAATATCTAGCAGCTGTGATGTCTGCCAAAGGCTAAGTCGCGCACCAAGCCGTTTTCGCGTCTCACTACCAATGGAAAATGTCGTCTTTAATCGCATATTATGTGTCGACATCATGTACTTGGACAGTAGCCCTGTCTTAAATTGTGTAGATCGTGAGACCAAGTTCAACGCCGCGGCGTTTCTGCCTGATGAAACATCTGAAACTGCTTGGCAGACATACCAAAGTATCTGGTCACTGCCATATGTTGGACATCCGGAACACATGCATGCAGACCAAGGCCCGCAGTTCAAGTCTCGCCGATGGGAAGGCCTCTGTCATCTGGCTGGCATCGACCTAACCCTTTCAGGGGTTGAAGAACATAACGCTCTTGGTGAAGGTGAGCGATACCATTCTTACTTACGTTCGACCTACCGAAAGGTCAAGAAGGATTTTCCTACCCTTGGAAACGGTTATGCCCTGCAGATCGCTGTGAAGGCCGTCAATGATACAGCAGGTCCCGCTGGTTTAGTGCCGACGTTGCTTGTCTTCGGAGTTTTTCCGCGTGCCCTCATCACTACTATTGAGTTGCCCAAACAGAAGGAAAGAATGGTGGCGATGCAGGCTGCACGAGATGAAATGGCAAGGGTAATTTCCAAACGGCGGATCAGTACAGCACTTCGTTCAAATGTACCAGTCGGTACATCCTCTGACGTGTGTATTGGATCCAATGTACTTGTATATCGTGAGTCCCCTGTGAATGAGTGGACAGGTCCTTATCAAGTACGCGATGTCCTCGGGAAGCATGTCTTCGTCGACATCAAAGGACGATTCGTAAAGTTCTCTATTGACAAGACCAAACCGTACATTGAGAACCAGAACAATCCCGAAAATGATGACCGGACTGTCGGAGCACAATGTGCAAATGTCACGAGTCCTACTGAACGCATTCCCTCAGCAGATGACTACGCTGAAGCACTGGACGGCCTTTTGGCTGCCTTGAGGAAGGACATGGACTCTATATCCCTGTCTGCAGGCGAGACGATTGAGAATTCTGAGTTCTTTACTGATGAAGTCGAGGCATACATGACGAAAATATTGTGCCCTGACGATCCTGCTGCGGACAACGAGAAATTCCGTCAAGCCAAGTTTTCGGAAGTACAGGGTCTGAAGGACAGAAATACGTGGACTGTGGTGGACAGACGTGAACTGTCAAAGGGTGCTAATATCTTAGGGGGCAGATTCGTTCTTACTTTGAAGGATTATGGCACTCACAACGAGACACCTAAAGCTCGTTACGTTGCACAGGGGCACAAAGACAAAGAAAAAGAGTTCCTTGTACATAACACCACAAATCTGCGTCAGCGTTCGATCAGGATCATCGTGTCTTTTGCCGCTGTCAAGAAGTATCGAATTTTCAGCCATGACGTACGGCAAGCTTACCTTCAGAGTGAAGAAGAGCTCACGCGTGAAATTTTTGTGTTGCCCAAAAAGAAGGACCTGCAGTTCTTCCAAATATCATCTGATGAAGTACTTGCTCTCCTCAAGCCACTCTATGGAAATGGAGATGCAGGCGACTATTGGGCGGTCACGTTTGACAAGCATGCAAAGAAGGATTTGGGAATGACGCCTTTGTTGGGCGATCCATCTTTATACATAATAGTTCCGATGGGGAATCGCAACTGCTTCCAACCTGACGATGAACCGGAAGGATGCATGGGAGTTTATGTGGACGACAGCTTGTTTGGCAGGAAATGAAACATTTCAGGAGCTATCAGACGCAACCCTTCAGAAGTTTGAGTCAAGGGAGCGGAAATGGGACGACCTCGTATTTTTCGGTTGTACAATTGAAACTTTGGATCCTGGCGTGTTCAAGATTAGTCAACCGGACTACATTGAAAAACTCAACTTGGTTCCCGCTGACGCCACGTTCGATCAATACCGCAGCTTTCGTGCCGAAGTTGCCTGGGCCACGCACACGCGTCCAGATATAAGCGGTTGTGCCAACAGAGCCGCGCAAGTTGTGGTAGAACCCACAGGCAATGTAAGTGAAGCGTCAGTCAAACTTCTCAACAGTGCAATCAAGAAAACGAAGTCAACGCCAACGCTGGGATTGCGCTACGGGAAATTGCAGTACAGCACTCTACATCTACGCGTGTACACTGATGCATCCTTCGGAACGAACAACGATTTGACATCGCAACTCGGATATTTGGTTCTTCTATGTGACGCCGAGAATAATTGTCACATATTAGATTTTTCTAGCAAAAAGTGCAAGCGCGTGGTTCGATCGATTCTTGGAGGGGAGGTGTATGCCTTTACGGAAGGTTTTGATTGCGCCTACATGATCAAACACGACTTGGAAGTGCTATACGGAAAGAAGATTCCAATGCAGATGAGGACCGATTCCAAGCAAATGTTCGACGTTGTGACTAAGGCTTCTTCAACATCTGAAAGAAGATTGATGATTGACATTGCCGCAACCAGGGAGGCCTACAATGCCAATGAGATATCAAATGTTGGGCTCGTGCGCTCAGAGCACAATGTCGCCGATGGCTTGACAAAGCCAAAATTCTGTCGCGCCCTGGATGACCTACTTCGAACTGGTCTCGACAACAATCCAGTACAGCAATGGGTTATTCGCACTGCTCCTCGTTCGTCTTTCTAAAGTGGCGGGAATGTTGAAATGAAGACGCCCGTACAAGTGTGGGTCTGCCTTGTTACAGTAGTATTGTTGCTGCATATGTATGTATGCAGTAAGTGAGTGGCCATTTGGCCATTCACTTTTATATTTGAGCTTAATTTGTATACTTCTTTCTACGGACTTCATCGATCCCTTTTTAAGATACGATGAATTCGTCCTCACGAGGAGTATTTAGCACATCACCGGGTGTATTGGGGTAGTATAAAAGCAGCTCCCCACTTCCTAGTAGAGGAAAGAAGAGAGCAGCACACAGAGAAGAATCTCAGCCATCCTCGAGGTCAAAAGTTCCGTTCGTCGGAAGACAAGGGTGATTAAAGAGGTACCGTCCGTCGGTGCTTATTTCTCTGTTAATTTTTCCTCAGTATTTTCACAGGCCGGCTGTTATCTTACTTGCCGCTGCTCTGTCCTACCCTTACCACCTTGTACGGGCCCCCACACATAAGGGGGGGGGGGTGCTGGAGACGTCGGACAAAAACCTCAATATTAAAAGGAAAAAGTACTTGTAATTGTCAAGCAATCACCATTTTTTATGTTTTGCGACGGGGACACTCTCAGCCTGTCGTCCACTGGGACTTGGCGAAAACAACCACGGACACAGAAGAGGAGTGAGATTGAAGCGCGCGGACACTTTTGCACCTCAACCGAGCACTAAGATCGGACATCCAAGCAAATAAATAAAAAATAGAAAAGTCCGCCTATTTTGTATTTTTGGGTTGTTGCACACTTATACGTAGAAAGCCGTAAGCAATCGATTGAGATATTTTTTCTTTAATTTCAACCACGTCGTTCTGATATACGGCGCACTATCTGGCGCCGTTACGCGCGGCGGTGCTCTTTGGCCCGTGTCGGAGATATTTTTCAAAATATTTTGCATGTCCGATTTTTTTGTCACTGTCCGACAACACCAGCAACCCCCTTTACAGTATGCGTAACTTTTGTGTAACGCTTCGCAAGCATATCAAAACGCTCTTGTATAGATCGGAAAGAGTACACTCTACCATACCGTGCCTGACGCGTCACTGTCTACAAATAGTGTATCTTTCCAATGTTTCCACGTCGATAAGGAACGCAAAGCACAACTGCAGAGAGTGAACCGGCGCCAACGTCCACTCGATGAATCAGTTATGTCTTCTTCTTGACCACTCGCCCCTCTCGTCCACGTAAGAAGGGCGTGGCTTCGTTGACGTTGCTCCTGAATTCGAGCCTGTGATTTCGAGTTTGTTTTTACACAAAGGCGAGCTGGTGCGGAGTGATGACGAAGACTCTTCGCCGAGCTGTTTCATTTTTTCCTTCTGCCGAAAAAAGCATGCATTCTTTGGACTTTACCATGGATTATTCTTTCATGCGAGTAAAACAACGCTGCACTATGCATCCGTCTTAATTAGAAAATTATTCTGCACATTGTGCGTGCTAATGTTACAAGTCTGGGCTACCACCAGCAGGTCCAGTAGAATGGTGTGTCTCCAGAGGATATCCATCAGATGTCAGCCCGTTGGGACCAGTCCCACCATCTGGTCTTAGGGAGAGATCCTGCTGTCCATGAGGTAAAGTCTCTTGCCGTAGCTGGGAAGAGTTGCGGCTCGGTATTGGAGTTTGTAATACACTCGAGGGCGGCGATACCTTTCTATGTGCGCCATGCGTGGGATATCCATCGGGAATGGAATACCCCATCGAGCTAGATTCCTCGTCAATGTGGTCGAAGTCTTCATGCTTCTTGGCTGTCGTCGCTTCAAAACCGCGAGTTGGCATTGAATGCACATCCATGAGCACTATATCCCCTTGGTTCGGCGTTGGTCTCAAGCCATCATCTTTTTCTTTGCGCTTCATAATGTAGAGGCGCGAAATCCTGTATAAGAGCAACCCGCCCCAGCACAGAGCGTACATGACAAAGAAAGCCCACAACTTGCTGGGCGTGATGCGGGCGTCGATCACATCTTCGCAACTGGATCTGTCCGCAAGCACACTCACGGATTCGAAGCCGTCCTGCTCTCGCAAAATTCTCGTCTCCCTCGAAAGCTCGTCCAACACTCTCTGGAGCGATTCGATATTTTTCGGCATGACAAATCCCACAGCGGTTGAAAAGAACGGCTCTCCGACCGGTGCAAAGACGTCACAATTCTTCTGGGCACGAATGACAATACTTCCTTCAAGCGAGTAGAAAAAGTCGGCTCTATTTGACTTGACAGCTTCAAAGCCCTCTGCTAGGTCCTCGACAGTCATGCTGAATTTGCCCCACTGCGGGCAGTCTTTGCGCACTTCAGTCGTATTGACGGCAGAATGCCAAAAAGCCTGCGACGCGCCCCCTGCGATCATGGCGATACGTGATGGGTCTAGAGCGCAGCTCTTGATGTCTTCTAACCTTTGAAATGCCGATTCTTTTGTGCTTTCAAATAGAAGAACAGTTAAACTGGCCTCATATATGGTAAGTAAAAAGAGGCCTGCGGTGATACCCAACATAAGCCAGGCGGTTCGATGAAAGGATGGGGTGCCCTGTGATTCCTCCCCAAATGGATGGCCGAGGAGGTGAGCATAGGCGAAAAGGATTGCGGCAGGAAACTTCTTGATACGCCACATAATGCCACGACGGCGGCGGTGAGTAGTGGAGCGAGGAAGGTCGCGCTCTGACGGTTGAAATGGGCCAAACGCGAGAGAACCTAGAGCATGCATCACCATACCGACGGCAATGATGATCCAAACTTGAAGGCTGAAGGTATTGAAGACAAACCAGGTGTTCTGAGAATTATCGGAGGACAAATCCGACTTGCGGCCGACCATACGATGGGCCTCGTTCCCTAGAGGCCAGACGAATTGGATCTTCTCCGTACGTTCGTTTGTCATGGTGAACGCACCGATGCCGATAGTGCATGGGCATTTGTTCTTGTTTGAGTCGGGAACGTTGGGTTCGCACTCGGACATTGTTTCGATGAAGGAACTCCAATTTCCATTCCATTCCTTGAATTCGGCGGTGAATCCAAGGTTGTCTCGAAGTCGTCGGAAGTAGTCGATGGCAATGCCCCTGTATTGTTCGCGACGGTTTTGATCGGCAATGATGTATGGGTCTTCAAGGAGGACGCAGGCGACGAGGTGGTTGCCATAGAGGCGATCAAATCGCTGGTTAGCGGTAGTGGCGGGGGACTGGGCGAGACATAGGACGGGGAGAAGAAGAAAGATGAGGATATGCATCAAGGCAAAGGCGGTGAAAGATGGATGTGGCATGAAAAGAGAAGAAGATGCGCCATGTACAGCGGACAGAGGGCGGGCAGAGGGCGGGCAGCGGGCAAGGGTTGGGAACAAGTAGTCAGAGATGTGTGCCAGTCGGGGGTAGCGAGCGTCGCCGGGCAGGCGCAACAAGTGGGTTGTTCACAACAGGAGAGCGGAATTGGAAATGGAACGAGCATGGGCTCAGGAGGGGGGGAGGGGGAGGGGCGGAGAGGCGGAGAGGCGGAGGGGCGGAGGGGCGGAGAGGCGGAGAGGCGGAGAAGCGGAGGGGCGGAGGGGCGGAGGGGCGGAGGGGCGGAGAGGCGGAGGGGCAGAGAGGAGGGGTGGCACCGTAATACTGTACCGAAGTCAGGGGCATGTGTCGTTCGGAAAAAGGCAAGTTAACACAGGAGAATCAACATGCTTCATGACATAATTTGGGCGAAGGCCGGGTGGCATACCGCAACGCCAGGGTTGGACCACTTAGTTTTTCCGTCACTGCGAGTTGAGGCCCAATGAGACACTGAATACACCGGGCGATCATCTTCCTACACGGTGTACGTACACTCTATTCTCGCAAGTCTACGCGCGCCGGACACAGTCTTACCGACAACTGGGCATCACTGCATTTCTATGAAATTTCTGCAAGAAAATGGACCCGAAACTTCCATCGTCACATGCCCAGCCCGCGGCCGGCCTTCCATGGAGGGCTGATGACACGATAAGGTTTGCCGCTGTGCCGCGGTGCGTTTTCGCGTGACGCCCTGTGCGAAGGGGCCGTCGTGGTTTTTAACTCGATATTCTGTCATTCTAGATACGCGCCGCCGAATGCAAACGGTGGTTAAGTACATTTCAAAACATGCTTCCAGACGATGTGCGTTTCCATCTGCACGTGAACAAGCACGCTTTTTAGCCCCAGCAACCTGACAACGAACTGCGATGGTGGTAACGCTCAGCCTCATGCGCAGGACAGCGCTGATTTCACGTGCAACGTGCTGGCGACAGTAGAGTTCGGCAGCACGCAGCGCTCGGCGCCGCTCAAAAATTGGAGCTGTAACAAACTCGAGGATAGGCCTTGCCGAGCATGCAGTAATCCACCTCTTCTATGTTGTCCTGTACCGAGTTGCACAGGATCGGATTGAATGCATTTGCTTTCGGCTATTGGGTCCCCTACACGTTGCTTGTTGTCGGAGGAGACTTTAGGGTACAGAACATGAATTAAGAGTCGTACACTTACCCTTCGAAGGATACGACTCTTAACTCGTGCGTGTTTGATACGGTGGACTGCACACGGTATCAAAGACGCAGGACGACTTAGGTTGGCATCCCCGGCGCCACGTACCGTTGCGCGGCAACAATGATCTACAGATGTCGTGGACAGCTCTTGGCTCGCAGGTCCAGCGGCCGTCGCATCGGTGTCCAGAAGAGACAGCGGTGCACAACCAAGGGTGCTGGCAGCAGCACTGGTGATGCCAGCACTACTGTAGTAAATGCCAGCACTAGTAAATGCCAGCACTAGTAGATGCCAGCACTGGTGATGCCAGCACCGCCAGGCGCCGCACTTACAGACCGTGTTGATGACATTGCCATGAACGGTGCTGACATCGCACGTTGGTGGACCAGATGTCGGCGCCCACTAACATTACACCAGTGTCACCCAGCATTGCGGTCACGTAGTGTATTAGCTAGGGCTCTTTAACGGGGAAGGTGCCACCGCGACACGCAACATTTACTGTGAGGTCCAATCAGTACAGTACCCTTTGTGTGGTTCCCTTGGGTACAGCAATCTGGGAAATCCGAGATTAACAATTGTCAGGTAATTCCAGTACGTGTATTGTACAGAAAACGCGGTCTCTACATGTGTTCACACATTTATGTTTTTTTCTTCTTGTACTACAGTATATCACATGATATAGTTGGCGACAAGAATAGAGTGGGCGAGTTGAGAGCCTGACCATGGTAGGCTCTTGAGAGCTGAAACATATTATGTTTCAGATATTATGTTTCAGGCTCTTGAGAGCTGAGATCAGCTCGCCCACTCGCCCACTCGCCCACTCGCCAACAGAATATTCTTCTGTTACCGTCCTGTTGCCGTTGCTGTGTCCATGGCCCATGGACCCCCCCCCCCTCTTCAACACGGGTTCTCGTGTATGCCGGTGTATGCCGTTTGTTTAACTTAATGTGTACCTTATCATATACCTTACATCTTTATTTACAACAGAGCTAAGACCCTCTTCAACATGAATGTTGACATTCCATCTGTGCTGCACTGTATCGACACGATTGGCTGGAGACCAGGGACGTATCTTCGGTATCTCTTGGGACCAAGAGGTCGCTCTTGCAGACGTTGCCTTCTCCCAGGAGTCTCCCAGGAGTCTCCCAGGAGCGAGACAGAACGTCCACGTCGGTGCCCCCTCAAGAAAGTTATCCTCCTGATGCCTTGCTATGCCGACGGCATAGCATGGACCATGTGGTCACGTAGTGTATTGGTACCTTCGAAGGTATTGTACGGCATAATAATGCAGTACCAATAGACTAGACTGGCATTGGGCGTACGACAGAAGCGGCTAAATTATACAAGGGAATTTCTGGACATGGCCGTCATAATGACCACGTAAATGGACATCAGCGTAAACAGTGAGATTTAACTGCAGTTCGGTGTTACGAGTTACTACAATACGACATGGTCGCCGCAGTTGATCTAGGAGTGGTTAAAAGTGTGACATATAAAAGTATGGCAAAACGGTGCTGGTGCTCAAATAGTAATGGCAATGCAGGCGGCAATGCTTCGCAATGGAAAACAGTGGTTTTGTAATGTATAATGGCGGAGGGAGAACATACCTGACATGAAATGGCAAATGATGTATACTGCAGAAGCGAATGGCCAAGGTAGGGCGCTGTCGGGTGCGACACACTCGTAAGGATGGGTATCGACGGCGGTGGTGAATGTCCGACGACGACGGGAATATTCTTACATACATTTCGCAACAAAATGCCGAAATATTCGCCTCTTCGTATTGTCACCGCCAAGTTTGGTGTACCGATTACCGATGAAGTCCGAGAATGGACCGCAGCCGCCAATTAATTTCGCTATGTGTATCGTTTCGAAAAAATGGGAGTTGAAATGCACTGTTTACAATGAAAATCCAGGATGTGTGACACCGAGTTCCATTAAAATTGTGATGTATACTGCTATCCCAGAAATTATGATGTGCTGACGACCGAAAAAGACTAAAATGTAAATTGTGTACAGTGATTCGCTTTCATGTTGAGGATTATGTTGACTCATTGCCATTGCATGAAATATGCGGACCTCCTGCCAATACGATTTGACATATCGACCACTTTTTCTTATATTCTGATGTCATAACAATGAAAGTCCTTAATCTCTCTTCGTATTCTACCAAATGATATGAAGGATGTCATGTGTGCCACCATTTCCCAAATGTCGCATTATACAAACAGACCTGACCTGACATATCTAGTCAGTCCGCACAATTGCATCATAGAACGCTGCGTAAAGAGTATGCGCGGTACAGTATTGATCTCCCACACTCTCTGTAAGGCCCTAATTTAGATATACTCTGTAGAATCTATACACAATTTGACCAAGCCGTAAAGCGCGCACCTTCCGCACTGCAATCTGATCTTTATCACTCATTTTTTTAGTCTGAAGTCTTTACCTCTGCACATTTCACTCGCTGCTTGTGGCACGTCTTCTCTTTGTCGTCTGGCATGTCGGCTTGCCTTGGTTGATGCAAACCAAATCGTTGATTTTCATTGAAAATCAAACCGTTGATGCAAATCAAACCGTTGATGCAAACCAAACCGTTGATGCAAACCAAACCGTTGATGCAAATCAAACCGGAAGGCAAACGCACGCAAGTCTCTTCCGCCGCAAGTCTCTTCCGCCGCAAGTCTCTTCCGCCGCACTTGCCGCCTACTGTAACCCTTGCCTACTGTAGATATCGAACAGAGTTCTTTCCTTACCCTCTTCGGTCCATTAATTCACACTCTGCACAAAATGTCCGTGCTGCAGTCGCGTCTGCCACCCCACCACGTGTGCATCCCACGACCGCCCTCCAAACGCAACATGTGCAATTTCGAGACATACCCTTTCCGTCTTTCATGGCCTCTTGTAACTTACATACGGAACAAGTTTTTTCCTCCACAGCACCCTTGCTACCGTATATTGTTTGGTTGCTGACATCGCCCGACCATTGCTGTTCTGTGGATCGATGAGCATTTCTGCAAAAGAGAGCCAACTATCGCATTCACAGTCATCACCGAAATCATGTGACAACACATACGGTATCTATGGTAAAAAGGAAAACAGGCCAAACCCTCATGCTAAACATTGTGCGTCACGTTAAGGCCCCGTACAGTAGGCGGATGCCCAGTTACACTCGTGGAACAGTCAAAATACTCAAAGAGACACCTCTGCAAGTACTCCACCCGGAATCAATCAACAGCCGTTCCAACATAGGACTGTCCACAGTCCTACAAGTATGAGAGAAAACTCTGAAGTGCACCTCACATGAGGTGCACTTCAGAGTTTTACTCTTCCGGTGTCGTCTCGTTTCTGCATCCCTTCATGCAGTACGTACCATGCGCAAGAATACCTTAGAAAGATATTATTCTACTGTACCTACAGTCCTTCATTCATGACAGTATCACCGAACCGGGGCTTTATCCCATCCAGCAATGCTCTCGAATTGTGAATGCGACATTGCTTTTAAAAACTACATTGTTGCTGGCTTGTGGCTCAGGAGAGCAATGAAACTCGCTTTGGTCCATCGACGGCACTCACTATTGTCCAGCCCCATTGCTTTTGGATTGTGCTTTGCATGGGCCCATGTTTTCAACACACGTCGGATGTAACTTTTTGGTCCCTCAACACTCACAACCAGCTTTGAGTATCTTCCAATTTCATGAAAGAAGACGTGCAGACCAAGGCGGGATTTTATCCGGAGACCTTTTGCCAGCTCGGCACATTTGATTCTACTTAAATTATTTGTGGCAAGCGCGACAACAACAGCGTAGATGTTTTCCACACACGTCGGATGTAACTTTTTGGTCCCTCAACACTCACAACCAGCTTTGAGTATCTTCCAATTTCATGAAAGAAGACGTGCAGACCAAGGCGGGATTTTATCCGGAGACCTTTTGCCAGCTCGGCACATTTGATTCTACTTAAATTATTTGTGGCAAGCGCGACAACAATAGCGTAGATGCTTGGCCTCAGAGGTCCAACCCGCGGAGAACAAGCGATTGCCTTTCCGCATGTTTGAAGAAGCGCCCTGGGACATGCCGTTCCCCCTCATAAAATTGTAGTCAGTATCCCGCGGCTGACAATGCCCGTCTTCCGCAACCATTTCTCTTTCATGGTCTTGTCAATATCCTTCTGCTGACATTCTTCGCTACGCGGAGAAATAGGCTTGCGCAGAACGCTTTTCGACAAGGCATGATCGTCTCAAGCCCCAAACAAAGCTCGGCGGAGGCGTCAATATCCCAGTTGGACGGCTGGCGCTGGCGGAGATGATTTTACCAGGGTATTGATGGTCGTTTTTCAATTCATTTACTGTACACATATCAACAAGATACAGTACTCGCAAAGGATGTATGAGGTCCGTAGTAAAGAGAAGGTTCGTGAGCAAGGGTGGCGACGGCAACAAAGGACCTGAATACGGAATAAAGTCACTGATAAATACTGGATTTTGGTACAGAGGACCCTACCCATTAGTGCCGCCCCGTGCAAGACCCTAAAAGTAGGCGCTACTGGGAGATGGCATTAGTAGGTGACGTCACATCTATTTTCATGCACTCGGTAAATAACGTCTGCCTGCTCCGCGTTGGTTCTCTGTCGTGTTTTGCAGTGAGAAACGCGCGCTTTGCCGACCTCAGATTCGATAGAGCTTCTGAATCTTGGCATTCAGTCGCCAAACTTCCAGCTCTCCAAACAATTCCGCAATCTCAACGACAGAGAGTACAGTCCTTCTCTCTCTGGTGTCCTCTGCGCTCCTACAGTGCCGAAAAAAAGTATAGGGACAGCATCAATACTCACATTGCTGGCATACAGTATTGTAAAGGCCAAATTTGAGGTGCGTCTAGAACTGTAAAAGCAACGAGGAGACCGAATCTGGGGTCGGATTTAAAGATCGAGAGCTCATTCACATGATATTTATAGAAACCTTATTTATGGGTGTTCGAAAGTATAAGGTACAGCGCATGTCTTTCACAACTTCATCGCTCCTAGTACTTCGTCGGACCTCCCTTTGCCATTACACACTCAAAGCTCCGCTTTTGCAGGGAACGGACAAGCTTCTCCAGGCATTCTTCTGAAACTTCGTCCCACGCTTCCATTATAACTTCTAAAAGCTCATCCACGTCCTTAAATTGACGTTGGTGTGCATAAACCGTTCGCGCTAGGATGCCCCATAAATGCTCGATAGGATTCAGGTCAGGTAACTTGGCAGGCCACTCTAAGAGAGGAACTTCCTCCTCGTCAAACCACTGAAAAGTACGTTTAGCGCGGTTTATGGATGCATCATCTTGCATAAACACCCAACTTGGAGCCATTTCTTAATCCATAAACGGCAAAAGATAGGACTCTAATGTATCTATATACTTAATAGCATCCTGCATTCCGTTTAAAACGGCGAGCTCGCACTTCTTAGTACTAGGGAAAGCGCCCCAAACCATTACAGAATCCTCGCCCTGCTGCCGTTTTGAGAACATCCGCTTGTCGGTCCGTAAATCGTGCCAATAGTACCCGAACCCATCCGGCCGGTCCAAGTTGAATTTCTTCTCGTCCGACCACACCACATTCATCCAATACGACACCGTCCAAGTGACGTTTTCGCGACACCACTGCTCCCGTGCAATTTTGTGTCTCGGGAGCATCATCGGAGCGGGGAACATTTTGCTGTACTGAATAGTTGACGTGGCGCGTAGGATACCTCGCACAGTAGATGGAGTTACAGGAAGACTAAGGGTCTTAACCAACTCTGAAGAACATAAATGCCCTTTGTGGGCTTCGCGCAAGAGTGCACGTCGAGCCGTGGCGGTGAGTTTGGAGGGCCTACCGCGCCTTTTATTCTTCCCGTACAGGCCCAGGTTCCTTAACAACGTGGCCACGACGTTGCGGAAGCGCGAGAGATGCGCGGCGATTCGCCTAATTGTCAAATTGTTGAGACGAAGAGCCTGGATCTGCCCTTGTTCATGCTGGCTCAGATGCGTACCGCGAAGCATTTTTGCTGTGTCGAAGTGAGCCGCATGTTTTGTGCTTTCTACTTCCTTTTGTATGTGTCTAGTCTCTTTTGCCAGTCTTCTCGCGGGAGATACTGCATTGTATAGAGCGGGGTTTTAAAGAAACTGCTGTGTAACTTATACTTTCCAACACCCATAAATAAGGTTTCTATAAATATCATGTGAATGTGCTCCCGATCTTTAAATCCGACCCCAAATTTGGTCCCCTCGTTGCCTTTACAGTTCTAGATGCACCTCAAATTTGGCCTTTACAATACTGTATGCCAGCAGTGTGAGTATTGATGCTGTCCTTATACTTTTTCGGCACTGTATCTTCATCACTTGATTGCGTTGTAGTTGAGTTCGTCACACCCTGAACCGTCTAAAAACAGCATAACAGCAAAAAGCAGCATAACACCCGGCCTGTCGGGAAAATTCTAGATTTCCCCGACAGGCCAGGAAGCGGTAAATTGCAACTGCTATACACTCCAGCTGCGCTTGCTCATGTGCCTGCTGCCCTCCCTCTCGCCTGCCCCCCTCTCCTAAACCCCGTCTGCCACCCCTCTCTCTCGCTTGCGCCCCCTCTCCCTCGGCTGCCCTCCCTCTCCCTCGGCTTCCCTCCCTCTCCCTCGGCTTCTCTACCCCTCACTGCCACAGCTTATCGAGTTGCCTTTTCGCCGTGCACTCCTGTCTTCCTCGCGCCGTTGTTTAGCTTGCACAGATAGCATCAAACACCTGTTTCATCCGCTCATTTGGCAAGGCCTTGGTCTCGCATCAGCAATATAAACTCCGCTGCCTTCTATGCCGGCTTTGCATATTGCTATTCACCCTTGTTCCTGCGTTGCACTCCTGCTGGGCACCCCTGTCAACTCCACCTGCGCTCTACCGCCCACGTCTGTAATCGTCACGCCCTTGTGCCCATCCTGTTTTCCCTTTTATCTTTGTTCTACCTTGTTTTTGTACTTCTTGCGGCCAAAGTACTACGCTTTTTAAGGATCTACTATCTCGTCTCGCACTGTGCACTGTACTAGCAGTATTACACCAACAAAATGTTTGTGTCACTGTACTAGCGGTATTACACCAACAAAAACATGGATTCAAATGGCAATCACGGCAATGCATTTAATGACAGAACTCCAAATTGTAGCATAAAAATCCCCAGACGACTGAGGGTGTATGCACAGTCCGACGTGGACCCCGTTCGAACGGGAAGACGGGTGAAGCACCAGCTAACGAGGCAGGGAAGCGGGCCCTGGTAACGGTGTGGTAGAGCGGGACGGTCGGGGACGAGCGTACGCGCGGGCCGATCTACGCCTCGACGCCCCAGAGCAGCGCTGGGCAACGTACCAGCGCTGACGGGCGGAGGCCGATCAAGGCTCGCTCGCGCCGGCGTGTGCCCCTACCCGCTCCCTTCCTCCTAACGCGTGCGAAGGCGAAGGCGCGTGGTTATAATAAGCTGGGTGGACTGACCTTGGCGGTCGGTTGAGGACAAGTCCGTGCTTGTCCCCCTCCGCCGCCGTCAGTCCGCTCCATATTTAATATAGAAAACGATCTATCATAACACTACAGTACCTCGGTACTGTAGTGGGCTACCGTAGTGCAGGTCGGCCTGCACTGTAATACTGCCAGCTATGTCGACGCTGACAATACACGTATTACCCGTGGTGCGTGCGCGCTTCGTTCGCACGCTGTACACGTGTGCACGTGTATGCGCGTGTCCCTTGTTCCCGTGGTGTACACGTGGACACGCGCGGTTGTACTGTAGAACGCCGGGCTCTACAGTATGGGATCCCGTTGTTGATCCAATCTATCTAAAAAGAGCCCCAAGGGGGGGTTATACTACACAAACGTGCTTGCTTCCGGCTCTTCGCCGTTGGGATATAGGGATATACTGAATACTGTGGAAAAGTCGAACATGTACTCAAGCCGTGACTGTGGTATGCGGGCAAGGGCGACGGTGTAATACAATTCTGTACCACAGCCCCCCGGCGAGATGATAACCGCGCGGGAGGGCGGGTGCTACTGTAGCAAGCAGGCGTACGCGCGCCCGCCGCCGTGCACAGTAGTACCCCAAGGGTCCGACGTGGGACAGCCGGTAACAGCGGGCGTGGCCACGGGTAACACGTGGCGCAACCGTTAGCCGGGATCGTGACCACGGGCACACTGTAGCATAACCCCCCCTGGGGGTTTAAATTAGATTAGATCAAGAACTAGATCAGCTACTGTAGAGCGTCGAGCTCTACAGTACCACCGCGCGTGTCCACGTGTACACCACGGGGACAAGGGACATGCGCATACACGTGCACACGTGTACAGCGCGCCAACGAAGCGCGCACGCACCACGGGTGATACGTGTACTGTCAGCCTCGACATAGCTGACAGTATTACAGTGCAGGCCGACCTGCACTACAGTAGCCCACTACAGTACCTCGGTACTGTAGTGTTATGATAGAGTGTTTTGTATATTAAATATGGAGCGGGCCGACGGCGGCGGAGGGGGACAAGCACGGGCTTGTCCTCAACCGACCGCCAAGGTCAGTCCACCCAGCTTATTCTAAACGTCGCCTTCGCTCTTCGCGCGCGTTTAGTCGGAGCCGAGCCGGAGTGGACGCGCAGCACGCGAGCGAGCACGGAACCGCCTCCGCCCGTCAGCACTGGTACGTCACCCAGTGCTGCTCCGGGGCGTCGAGGCGTCGATCCGCTCGTGCGTGCGCGCGTCCCTGCTCGCTCCCGCTCTACCACCGCTACCCGGGCCCGAGCCCGGTTCCGTAGCTGGTTGGCCCGCTTCACCCCTTCTCCGAACCGGGGTCTACAGGTCGAACTGCGCATACACCTCCAGTCGTCTGGGGGTGTTTATGCTACACACACGTGTATAATCCGTACGGTGGCTAACTAGTAATTAGTAGTTAATGGCATAAATTAGCCCATTTAGCACAGTAGCTGGTTTACAGTAAGTAACAGCTACTGTAGCGGGACAGGTGTCCTGGCGTCCCACTTAGGGGTTAAGACCGGGGGCACCTGCCCCGTTCCAGTAAACGGGAGACAGACTCGCCTCCCTTCCCTTTACGGCTAATTGCTATCCCGTTCCGGTCCGGATCTAACACCACCGACCGGCTGCGCGTCACTGACCACGTGAGCCTTCCCTCTTTTCCAGTCCTTCCGTACGGTTTGCGTTCGCGCGTGGGTTACCCAGCGGCGCGCGCTCCCTTACCTCTAACCCCCCTCGTTTCCGAGTGGTCGGGACGAAGGTAGTTATACCACAGACGGCATCCGCTGACAAAAGGTCCGCCGCTGACGGAGAAAGAGAGATTATGGAAACTTTTCGCTCTCCCTCTCCCACCAGTCAGCAAATGCCTACTATCCGACAGGAACATGAAAGGGCAAACACAGATGCCGCCCCGCCTTCTACAACCGTTTTAAACGCTATGAATGCTCGCGGAATCGTTCCGCGTTGTTTTGCGCAAGCCAAAGAAGTCCTTCGCTTCGGGTTTGTAGACAACAGCACCGGTAAAGCAATTTTGAACGCTCTAAAGATAACCGGTGCGCAAAATGCGAAAGTTAGCACAAAGCTGAAGATTGTTGCCATGAAAATGACACAGAGGCAATTCTCCTTACAGAACGTTATTGCCTCTTTGGACCGTGAGGAGGAGGACGCGATTGAGCCTGACCTCGAACGCGATCCTCATTTTTAATGGAGCCTCTTACCATCTGCGGTTATGATTCAGAAAGATCGGACCGGCGGAGATATCATTTGCTGGATTCGAGGGGATGCACCGGTATTTGATGGAGACGAGATTAAGATCAATGGGCCTGCAACAGATCGCACAGTCAACACGCCGTCTCGTGAACCCGAAATTGAGGCCTCTGAGTACTGCAGGTTGTGCACACACTGGGGGATACTAAAATGACCTCTACACGCTCTCAATTAATGGAACTTAAAACTCGCCACAAACTTGATCGAGAACCCGTTGATCTTTGGACGGACGCAATTGCGCCATTATTCAATGACGTCCTATTTAGGCCTCATCCCATCTGCGTTCTGGCAAGCGGTGTTACGCGTGACGATATCGCCAGTATTGATCCATCAAACAGAGTGCATGAAAGACCTGCTGGTGTTCTAAAAAGAAAATTCGGAGAGTTCAAATCCATGTACGGGACATCGCTAGCAAAATATGAATCATCAGGCTAGGGTGATCCTGACAGTTTTGTTCATTTTTCAAACGCAGTCTCCTACATCATGTACGCGTTCTGCTTTTTGAAAGTGAACCCTCTGTTACAACCTTTAGCTACGAGGACTGTCGCCGGTGACGTGCAACGAGAAGAGGGGGTCCGAGGGAGAGTTGCACCAAACGGTGAAATTGGGTATGGGTCTGCGCGAAAAAGGAAAAGGGAGAAGTAAGAGATAAGTACTGCGGGAATGGAAAGTTTGTCGTCCGTATTTCGTCCATTCTCTAATGAAGTGGCGCGGGCAACTGAGGAAGCCGAAAGAGATAAAGTTTTGTATGCAGCGGCAGATGCAAAGGCCCGTTCTACACATTCACTCCTTGCTGCCATAAAACAAGCAAAGGATATGTCGTTGTCTGATGCGACAAACGAGGAAAAGCTGATGTATCAAGATATAGCAAGCAAGCTCATGGGTAACCTGCAAAAAAACATGTCATAGATAGTAGGCGAAGTTGGGTTTCGTTCACGCAACAAATTGAGATAGATACAACGGGTCAAAACATACAACTAGCGCCTTTGTCGTAGTCGCATAAATCTTAGTAAATGAAGTCTTTCTGCAATTTTTGTCCCGGAGCATAGAATTCTCCCTTCCTCGCTGTCTAGATCTCTGAGCAGTTTGTTCAGTGTGCAGTAAACTTTGAATGTGAATGATGGGGGATCCATCCACGTTATTTTCCTCAGCAACCGGTATGGAACTAAAGTCCCTGCCATCAGATTTATCGATGATGAAGTTGCGGAGTTTGCAAGCCACCATTATGATCAAAGTATCGACTGAAAGG